AGTCGATACACTTAACTTTCTTTCAATGGGTAAATTTTACCTCAATAGGTGGTAATCCTATTATTAAAATTGTAATCCTGCCTATAAACATAGTAACTTTACCTATCCATGTTATAACCTCACCTCTACAAGGTTACCTCTTTGCCACTAACAGCCATAATTTCACCTTTATGCATTGTAACTTTCCGTCATTAGTGGATACAATTACCTTTCAATCCGTAACTTAGCCTAACTAGATGATAACCTTATTTTTAATATTGTCATCTTCCCTATAAGAATTGTAACCTTACATCAATATGTAGTAACTTTTCATCAATATGTTATAACCTCACCTATACCGATTATCTCTACTGCCACTAATTGGAGTAATTCCACCATTCTTTGTAATAACATTCCCTCCATTATAGATAACTTTACCAAATGAATATCCATTGAGGATCGATCATTATTATGTATGATCGAAACCAATCTCCCCATTCCCCCATAGGCACAATGGATTAACCCCCCCCCCCCAAGTAAGGTTGTAACATAAAAAAATATTGATCGATCATGTTAATGTACGATCGACCTTAATTATCCTTTCTTATAATCTCACCCCTAAAGATTACTACTTTCCCAATGACAGGAGTAAGTTTACCTTAATGCATTGTACCTTTTCCTTTTAAGTCGATAAACTTACCTTTATTTCAATGGGTAACTTTACCTCCATAGGTATTAACCTTATTTTTATGGGTGGTAATCCTACCTCTATCGGTACTAATCTAACCTCAACATTTACTAACCTATCATCAATATGTAGTACCCTTGCATCAACTTGTTGTAATCTTACTACAATATGTTTTAACCTCACCCCTAAATATTACAACATTACCTCTCCATTTAGTAACCTGACAATAATTTATTATAACTTCACCCAATACACATACCTCTTTTCCACATACATGAGTAATTTTACCTTTATGCATGGTAGTGTTCCTTTTTAGCTGATACACTTAACTTTCAATTGGTAACTTTACCTCAATAGGTGGTAATCCTATTATTAAAATTGTAATCATACCTATAAACATAGAAACCTTACATCTCCATGTTATAACCTCACCCCTACAAGGTTTCCTATTTGCCACTGACAGCCATAATTTCACTTTTATGCATTGTAACTTTTCATCATTGGTGGATACAATTACCTTTCAATCAGTAACTTTAAAAGTTGAAGGGATAAATAAAATATCATGTGTTGGTAAGGAATGAAATAGGAAGAATGAAAGAGTGGATAAATTAATTTTTCTTCTAAATCGTCAAAATCAATCTCTCCAAAATGGGAAGGAAAGTGGATGAAAAGTTAATTATTTGTATTGAGATGTATCTTATTTGTCTATATATATTTTAATATATACATATATTATGTATACATTAATTTCAAATAAAAATACAATGGTAAAATATGTATATATATATATATAAATTTAAAAATGAAATAAAAAAATAAAAAAAAAATTTAAAATTTTTAAAAAAAACTTCCATCTTAACTAAGGGTGAAAATTTTTGACTCAACACGATGACACAATTCAAACTCGATACAAAAATAAACAGGTCATCTGGCAATTCGACACGATATAATTAGTTAAATGAGTTAAATTAAGTTTGACTAATATTCGAAATAAATCCGTAATGACTCAACACGAATCTGATACGACACGACTCGATTGTCACCCCTAATCTTAGCCAACACAAAAAAAAAATAGTCATTTTTATTTTCTATCCATCCAACCAAACACAAATGAAAGATAGAAAGATAGAAATTGTATCATTCAAAGATAGAAAGTGTATTCTTCCTATTTTTCATTCTTCCTACTTTCTGTCCTCCATACCAAACGGAGCATAAAAGATTGTTACCTTCCTTCCAATAGTTATAATCTCACCTCTAAAANCCTTTTCCTTTTAAGTCGATAAACTTACCTTTATTTCAATGGGTAACTTTACCTCCATAGGTATTAACCTTATTTTTATGGGTGGTAATCCTACCTCTATCGGTACTAATCTAACCTCAACATTTACTAACCTATCATCAATATGTAGTACCCTTGCATCAACTTGTTGTAATCTTACTACAATATGTTTTAACCTCACCCCTAAATATTACAACATTACCTCTCCATTTAGTAACCTGACAATAATTTATTATAACTTCACCCAATACACATACCTCTTTTCCACATACATGAGTAATTTTACCTTTATGCATGGTAGTGTTCCTTTTTAGCTGATACACTTAACTTTCAATTGGTAACTTTACCTCANGACGAGATACATTCAAAGTGGGAGGGAAAACAATTATTTATTAATTTCCTTGTACATGATGATGGGGTCCACATTTCCTTCAACAAAAGTATAAAAATCCTTTATTCATGTTTTAGATAGATGTTAAATAATTAAGATCGATCATACCATTCACTATTTTGATCTCCTGAATGCAAATATATATTTATTTAGGATCGATCATTATTATCTATGATCGATCCCAATCTCCCCATCCCCCNTCTCTCCAAAATGGAAAGGAAAGTGGATGAAAAGTTAATTATTTGTATTGAGATGTATCTTATTTGTCTATATATCTTTTAATATATACATATATTATGTATACATTAATTTCAAATAAAAATACAATGGTAAAATATGTATATATATATATATATAAATTTAAAAATGAAATAAAAAAATAAAAAAAAATTTTAAAATTTTAAAAAAAAACTTTCATCTTAACTAAGGGTGAAAAATTTTGACTCAACACGATGACACAATTCAAACTCGATACAAAAATAAACAGGTCATCTGGCAATTCGACACGATATAATTAGTTAAATGAGTTAAATTAAGTTTGACTAATATTCGAAATAAATCCGTAATGACTCAACACGAATCTGATACGACACGACTCGATTGTCACCCCTAATCTTAGCCAACACAAAAAAAAAATAGTCATTTTTATTTTCTATCCATCCAACCAAACACAAAGGAAAGATAGAAAGATAGAAATTGTATCCTTCAAAGATAGAAAGTGTATTCTTCCTATTTTTCATTCTTCCTACTTTTTATCCTCCATACCAAACGGAGCATAAAAGATTGTTACCTTCCTTCCAATAGTTATAATCTCACCTCTAAAAGTGGCATTTTTATCTCTACAGGCTGCAGTTTAACCATAATTAATTGTAATTTTACCTCTGAAGATATTAACTTTATTTTAATAGGTGATAATTTTATCCCAAAAATTATAACTTTGTCTTTGCAATTAGTAACATTACTTTTAAGGTGTAACTTCATTTCAATAGTCATGATCGATCATGATTATGACGGGGCGATCCCAATGCCTTTGATGGATCCTTTTTTTTTTTTTTTGGCAATTTCACCCAATTAGGATTGATCATGACTATATGAGATCGATCTTAGTACATTTGACTTAATTCATAAAAAATAACATTAAGTTGATTTTCAATTGTATTAAATTGACATTCAAAATTATAAATTTAAAATTCATCAAATTAAAATTAAATTGACACTCGACATTTTGTTCTACTCAAAATATAAATTAATGAAATTAAATATTACAAAAAAAAAAAAAAATAAAGGTTCAATTAATGTTAAAGGTTAAATTGATGAAATATTAATTTGGTGGAAATTAATGTTAAATTAATTTATTTAATGTCAATTTATTATCAAATTGACAATAAATTGACTAAATTAAATTTTAAATTAGTAAAGTTAAATGTTAATTTGGTTAAATTAAAGGTTAATTTGATATTAATTTAATGAATTGAATATNTAAATTAAATTTTAAATTAGTAAAGTTAAATTTTAATTTGGTTAAATTAAAGTTTAATTTGATATTAATTTAATGAATTGAATATTAATTAAATAAAACTGAAAGTAATTTATTGCCAATTTTATAAAATAAAATGTTAAATTGATGAATGTCATTCAGGCCGACCTTATCTTTTTGCATTCTATTTTGACCTTGTTTATCATGGCCTACCACTTTTTCGATGCGATACTGACTTTGTTTATTCAGTGCCATAGAATTCCTCATCATTTAGTAGGGCAATAATGTTAATATGTCACTTCAACATATTGTCATTTTATAGGGCAATAATGTTATCCTTAGCATTCATCGTTGATCCATATTTGCCCACAAATTGCCATTTTGTAGGGCAATAATGTCTCGATACGAATTCATTTTATTCATCATTGATCATGTTAATTGTCATTTTGTGATTTATAATTGGTTGGCAGATCAATAAACAAAATCTCTAATCTCTAAGCATATAAATTAACAAGTCAAAATATGACATGAATTCGAATTTGTACAAACCGAATAGCATGACACAACTCAATTAAAATCGCACATTGCAGACATTCCCGTGACTGCTCTTCATTCTCAAACTATTATGCATTTTTTGTAGGTTTTAAAATCCTTCATGGATAGTTATACATTTCTACTGGGCGTCCCTTGGTGAGAATGGTAAATGGTAAATTTCTTGGCTCAAATTCAAATCATTGTTATATGATCTCACTGTACTAGGAATATATATTCAAATTCAGACAATTCAGGCTTTCTCTTTGGGTGTCCTCTCTTCTTTCTCTATGCAAGTTCTCTGTTATGGTCATGGTGCGAAGATTCACCGAGTAATAATATAAGAAAAAAAATATTTATATAACAAAAAATACACTGACCCTATTTTGTCCCCTGAAAAGAATAAGAAATTTCAAAAACTGAATGAATCATGTGAGGTAGTATGACCCTTATCCTAATATTGTACGATAAAGTGAATAGACCACATAATTGTACGCCATTGGTGAGTGCCGCATCTCCATCATCTGAGACAAATATAGATAAGGCTAAAGCATGATGGAGCTCAGCAAAATATTAAGTGGGTCTTACTATTAAATTATTAGTGAATTCCAATATTATCAATTCAAAAGTTACGATGCATTAACTCCCTAAATTATGTCTCAATAATGTTAATATAATTTTAAACATAGTTGGCCAACTATTGTCTCTAAGTCGATTTCCGAGAGAGAGAGAGAGAGAGAGAATTTGACTGTCTCACTCACTCACAACTCATCTATATAAACACCCTAGGGACAAGCATTTGCTACCACCATCTGCCTCCATTAAATTTCTGCTTTTGCATTATTGTTTAAAAACAGTTTGGTTTAGAAATGGGAAAATTGGTTGCTCAGACTGAGATCAAGTCTGATGGAGATGTGTTCCATGAGATCTTTAGGTACAGACCACATCACATAAAAGATATGAGCCCCGCGAACATTCAGGGTTGTGAAATACATGAAGGCGAATGGGGAACTGTGGGCTCTGTCATCTTCTGGAACTACACCCATGGTAAGAGATATTTTAGTTTATTTTTTGAGTAAATATTATGGTGAATATTTTTGAAACAAGTGAAAACTGTGCCAGTAATGGTTTACTCGTTTCTGTCCTCATGAATCAAGCACGGTGGAGTGGGATTTTGAAATCCCTGGGGTAAGTATGGACCTTCTAATCGGGAGGAGTGTTATGGTACCAAAAGTTGGTCTCGTACATACGCTTTTTGGCCAAAGAAACGCTCCGGTGTGCATTAGATCATTCAAATTTAAAACCAATTATTCATATGATTTTTTTGTACGATATGACGAACGTACCGAAGCCTTACCCTACCCCCTAATTAGATTAGACCATTTACAACAGCCTTACTCTCTAATCAGACTAGACCATTCCAAAAATTTAGATCCATCGGTACATGTGATGGATTTTTGTTTAGCCACCTGATCTATCTCTTGTAGTTAGAGATCAAAAAATTCATACATCTAATTCATCATGTTGAAATGGAAAAATTTTGAGGGTTATATCTTTGAGGTCTAAAAATTAACTCCCAAGAAAACATGATTTATTTGATGAATGTTATTCACGGATAATAACACTTTGCTATCACAAGTTAAATAAAAGGACTTGATACGTAGGGGTGCTCATGGGTTAGGCCGAACTAGTATAGGCCTAAACCTTTACCTAAATGAGTTATCGGGCGGACTGGGCTAGAGTTCGAGTACGAATAAGCTATCTGCAATCCAACTTGGGAGTCTATTGAGCAGGCTAGATGGGCAAGTCTGTTCGTAGGTTTTTTTACATACAATTTCATTTAAAAATAATGAATAACTTAATATTTGTGTAAATTATATTTTTAAATCAAAAATAGAGTCAAAATAAATAATTTAAAAATAATGAATAATTTTATTTTTGATTAGAAGATGAACTACATATAATAAAATGAATACATTTCAACTAGGTTAACGCCTACTCATTTATCTATTATTTACATTACTCTACCATTTAAAACTTGTATGATTTATGTATGGAAAAGAAAATAATATATTATTTATAGTATCTAAATTTTTAAAATTTTAAATTTTGACAATGTGAGACTTAAACGGGTCCAGTATCAATCTTACAATTATAATGAGATAAGTCAATAATAAAATATGTTAAAATGACATCATTCTGTACTGGTGTGTCACCACAGACGGGAAACAGAAGGTTGTAAAAGATATAGTCGAAGCCATTGATGAAGAAAAGAAGTCGGTAACATTGAAGGTGATTGAAGGAGATCTCATGAAATTGTACAAGACCTTCACTGCAACTGTTCAAGTTGATACAAAGGGTGAAAACAACTTGGTGACATGGACTTTCGAGTTTGAGAAGTTGAATGAGGGTGTGGAAGACCCAAATACTTTCATGGACTTCTGTCTCACAGTCACCAAAGATATTGAAGCCCACCATCTCAAGTAATAAACTTAAAGATGGCATATGTGGGTTATCGGTGATATATACCTAGTTCTTGTGTGATATAGGAATGTTTTTAAGTGTTAAGGTTGCTATTTCTCCTTTGAATAAGATGTATCTGTGAAGGACATGTATATGTGCTTGCTGAAGGTTGTGTTCTTATGTATTTGGGGTGCTTTATGTATATCTCTATGCAAAATAGCGTGGTAAATCTTGTTTATAATGGTCTCTCTCTCTCTCTCTCTCTCTCTTTCACACACACACACACAAGTATTAGGGACCAAATACTCATGGATGTTTGCTTACAGAACGAATCAGAAATAATTAATATATTAACATCATTTTTAATGTTTTTTCTTATTTTTAAAGCATGGTTTAAATCCATGTGATAAAAACCTAGAAAATGCATTGAAAAGTAAACAATAACAAATTGAAAGCGTATATCCACTCTTTATGTATATCCACTCTTGATATCTTCCTACGTTTATCTTCAATATTGGAAAAACATGCATGAAGAAATTTTGTAATATTTACTTCATATTGGATAATACTGGATTTAATTGTTAAAATTTCCTTTGTTGGAAATACTGGACAACTCATTTGTACTATGAATTTTCAATAAATATCTGGTGTATTTTTATTAGGATTGGGTGAATCACTCCTATTGGGATCACGTATATGTGATTGACCAGGATTGGTGATCCTCAGTCATCGTGCATATATATAACTAACAAAATTATTCGGAATCTTATATTGGGAAATAAGCACTCCCTTAAATGTAGGTAAAATTATACCGATTAGTGTTCTTAATTTTTTTCGTGTTTAATCAATGTGTCATAGTAAACAATGATGACACTGTTGAGATATGGATATCTCCCTCTCCTTAAGAAGATTCTAGACTTTTGTGGCTGCAAAACCCAAAAACTGGTGTAATAGACATTTTTGTTTGACTTGTCCTATCGAGGGTATAATAGCCCGGCAATTTTGTCGTATCGTTGTCATATCGTTTTGACAAACTTTGCATAAGTGGTTTAACCCTTAGCTCCACCAATAAAAACTTGTTTTAACTAACTTTGCATAAGTGGTTGAACCCTTAGCTCCACCAATGAAAACTCTTTTCTTTGATCTCAACCCTCAAGTATATGAGTGTGTACACTGCGTGTTGCTGTATACAAATGCCCCTCTTGGAGATCCTATATATGGAAGGGGAAGATATGAAGTTCATAATGTATTTAGGTCATTAATATGTATACACAAACTTCATGTATGTGACTATACATGGATGTAATAATTAGAAGTTTTTGTATATAATTCATGCATTTATCGCTTTAGTACAGTTCATGTATGAGCATGATGAAGAAATACATGTATGTAATAATTAGGTTCATGTAAATGTGTGCAATTATTTCAAGCAAAATTCATTTATATAGTTCATACGTGTATTTAGTTGATATGGTCTATGTATAAGAGTGAGGAAGTGATACCATGGAGGTGAGTGTATCCATTAATTGGTCTCATCGGTACATTGAATTATACATTAATATTAAACCGTACCAAAACAATTGTTTTGCTAAAAAAGAGAGAGAGAGAGAGGGGGGGGGGGGAGCGAGAGAGATTAAACTATATTTTTCCAATCATCCTTGCATAGAATTCAAACTTCTAGCTTGTATTGATGGTATGATCAAGTCCTGGTCGCCAGAATTTTATTGTGTGATAGTGTTTAGCAAATTTTGCTTTAACTTCAGAGATTTGGACTCCAATAATGCATACAAGGCTGGTGACAGTAGCAATTACGTGTTGCTTAAGTACAGATTGGCCCCACAAAAACTCCTTATTGGCTTTATAATTGTTTAGAGAGAAGAGAGGGAGAACTATTTAGATAAAACTGCAATTTTCTAACCCTCACCACATAGAATTCCGCAAAGTCAAATATATGTCATTAGTTAAGATAATCAAAATATACAAGTTTCAGGGTGATACCCTACAAAGGAAATAGGTATCCTCTATTGTTACTAAGGACCTTGTCAACTCAGAATTTCAATAGTAAGGCCCTTACTTCCAACCCAATCCTGTATTGCCAAAACCCAATATCAAAAGATCACTACTGGGAGATAAATGCAACAACATAGCAATCTATTAAATAGGACAAAAAAAAAAAAAATCTAAACCTACGGAACTTAAAGCCAATGCTAGTAGCTGCCAAGCTTGGAGGAGTGACAAGTTTTTGGGAAATTCTTGAATCTGAGTGTGACCAACCTATCTTTGATGATTTGTATGAAGCATTTCGCAAGACTTCTACAATCTCTAAGCTGGTTTATATGGAGCCCCTAATTCCTTTCCTTTCATATTATATACACAGTAGTTGTCAAGCACAATTTCTTTAGCACCTTTGATAGTGATTTACTTTTCATAATTCAACTGAACTTCAGATATACAGACTCTAATCATGTATACAGGGACAATGGCATAAACAATTATATAAGTTGGTTAAGTGCGCATTGGCCCCACCACAACTCTCTTATTTGTTGGACAAAAACAGTTTTTTGAGTATAAAAATTGAGTTTTTGGTCGACTTTGAGCCTAAATTAAAGTGGGACACGATTGTTATTTTGAATAAAATTTCGTGGGTTCATATTCTATTCCGTGAGCAAAATAATGTAGTATATTCGTTTGCTCAAATCGAGTAAGAAATGAATGAGGAAATAAGCTCTAAAGTGACCCTCTTGAAACATGAAAATAAAGAAAGTGCAATGTGGGATGTGACATCAATCCCACATTGGTTGAGGAAGAAATTCAACATGGGCATATATAGGCCAAGTTTGCTCTATGAGATTGGGCCCCAAGGGGTACCACAGTTTTATGAGCAGAGCGAGCACTTACATGCCTTCGGTTCAACCACACGCGCCGCCCGCCTGCCTCGCCACGACCATGACCCAGGTGGTACGGGTGTGGTTTAGATCAAGCTTTATTTTTTAGAGAAAATTAACTTAATAAATTGGGCGTGAATTTCTTTTTCAGTATCCAATTNTTAATAAAAAGAACACATCTCCTGCTTATATGCTTGAGTCTTCTAATATATGACATAGTAGATTATGACATGTTAATTTTGATACCTTGCATAAATTAATGAATTTGGAATTGTTACCTAAATTCAATATTGATGCAAATCATAAATGTGAGTCATGTGTTGAATTAAAATTAACTAGAGTATCATTTCATAATATTAAAAGAAGCACTGAACCTCTAGAGTTAATTCATAGTAATACATGTGATTTGAAATATATTTAAACTAGAGGTGGAAATAAATACTTTGTTACATTTATTGATGATTTCACAAGATATTGCTATGTATATTTGCTAAGGAGTAAAGATGAAGCATTAGAAAAATTTACGCACTATAAGAATGAGATTGAGAATCAACTTGGCAAAAAGATTAAGGCAATAAGAAGTGATCGAGATGGTGAATATGATGCATCTTTTGATCGGTTCTGTCAAGAACATTGTATTATTCACCAAACATCTGCGCCTTATACACCTCAGCAAAATAAAATTGCTGAACGTAAAAATAGAACTTTAAAAGAGATGATGAATGTCATGTTGATTAGTTCAGAATTACCTCAGAATTTGTGGGGGAAGCTTTGTTTTCAGCAAATTATATTTTAAATAGACTACCCCACAAGAAGTTAGATAAAACTCCTTATGAATTATGGAAAGGAATGAGTCTTTCCTACAAATATTTAAAAGTGTGGGGGTGTTTGGCTAAAGTGATGATTCCTATTCCCAAAAGGATTAAAATAGGACCTAAGACTATTGATTGTATATTTATTAGTTATGCAATAAATAGCAGTGCATATCGCTTTCTCTTGCATAAATCTGATATTGCTGATATACAAGTCAATACAATCATTGAGTCAAGAAATGCGTCATTTTTTGAAAATGTCTTTCCTAGTAAAAATGCATGTGATGTGAGTTCTCTTAAAATAGCTCATGATAGTGCGACTAGTAATATAGACAATGAATCTATAAATGAAGAAAGTAAAGAGCACCTAAACGCAGTAAGAGGGCAAGGACTCCAAGTCCTATGGTCCAGATTTTCTAACATATTTGTTAGAAAATAAGCCTCAAAGCTTTAATGAAGCGATGTCCACTCTTGAAGCACCTATATGGAAAGAAGCTGTAAACAGTGAAATTGAATCCATCATGCAAAATCACACCTGAGAGTTGGTAAATCTTCCACAAGGGAGTAAACCATTGGGGTGTAAATGGATTTTCAAGAGAAAAATAAAAAGTGATGGATCAATTGATAAGTACAAGGTTAGACTTGTAGCTAAAGGTTACAAACAAAAGGAAGGTTTTGATTACTTTGATACATATTCTCTCGTTACGAGAATAACATCTATTCGTATGCTCATATCTATTGCAGCATTACATAATCTTGAGATACACCAAATGGATGTGAAAACAGCTTTCCTAAATGATGACTTAAATGAAAAAATTTATATGGACTAATCCGAAGGGTTTGTTTCTCTGGGATAAGAGAATAAAGTATGTAGACTTGTTAAATCACTTTATGGTTTAAAGCAAGCACCAAAATAATGGCATGAGAAATTTGACAAGATAATGATGTCAAATGATTTCACAATTAACGAATGTGATAAATGTGTCTATGTTAAAGATACAAATAAGGGATATATAATTGTTTGCCTATATGCGGATGATATGCTTATTATAGATAGTAATAATAATATTATTACAGCTACNGTTTCACAATTAACGAATGTGAATGTGTCTATGTTAAAGATACAAATAAGGGATATATAATTGTTTGCCTATATGCGGATGATATGCTTATTATAGATAGTAATAATAATATTATTACAGCTACCAAGAAAATGTTGTCTACTAAGTTTGACATGAAAGATTTGGGTGTTGCAGATGTTATACTAGGAATTAAAATTTCTAGANATTTCACAATTAACGAATGTGATAAATGTGTCTATGTTAAAGATACAAATAAGGGATATATAATTGTTTGCCTATATGCGGATGATATGCTTATTATAGATAGTAATAATAATATTATTACAGCTACCAAGAAAATGTTGTCTACTAAGTTTGACATGAAAGATTTGGGTGTTGCAGATGTTATACTAGGAATTAAAATTTCTAGAACATCTGGTAGACTTGTATTATCTCAAACACATTACATTGAAAAAAATACTTGAAAAGTTCGACAAAGATGAAAACAACAT